CTTGCCTACGGGTACTAGCTGCTGCGACCCTCTAGTGACAAAGGCTGACAAATTAACTATGGGACAAGAACTAACAGGCCACACTCGGTGTTAAAATTAATGAAATATAAAGGGCCAATACTGGCTGACTAATGCTCAAATGATCAAGTACCAGGAAATGTTATGTGAGAATCCACACATTCACTTGAAAGTGGTGTGGACTCTCAACCCTGCAACCTTGCTGCCTAGCGAGCCAGGTCAGCCCTGTCATGATTGCATTGAGGTCATGGATGAGGTATTCTCCAGTCAACCTGACTTGACAGACCAGCCTCTCAGGAATCCCAATGTAAAATATTTCACTGATGATAGCAGCTTCATAAGAGAGGAAAAACGGTTTACAGGATACTCTGTAGTAACCTGCAGTCCACCATCGAGGCAAAGTCTCTGCCAAAAAGGACTTCAGCACAAAAGGAGAAATTAATTGCGCTAACTCGAGTCCTCCAGCTAGCAACAGAAATGTCATTATATACACTGACTCTAAATATGCCTTCACCACTCTCCATGCACATATAAGGGGCTTCATATAAGGAGAAGGGCTCAGGAGGCAAGGACATAAAATATGGTAAACAAAATTCTTAGCTGGGCTCGGTGGCTCAGCCTGTAATCCCAGCACTTTGGGAGGCTGAGGTGAGTGGATTGCCTGAGCCGGGGGTTTGAGACCCGCCTGGGCAACTTGGCGAGACCTCATCTCTACAATAAATCAAAAAATCAGTCGCGCGTGGTAGTGTGTGCCTATAGTTCCAGCTACTCGGAAGGCTGAGGCGGAAGGATCACCGGAGCCCAGCAGGTCGAGGCTGCGGTGGCTGGGAGCGGCCACTGCCCTCTAGTCTGGGTGACGGAGTGAGACTCCAACTCAAACAAAACAAAAACAAAACAACAAAAAACTACTTAGAAATTACACACTGCCTATTGTCCCCAGAGCTTGAAAAAAGTATAACAGATAAACTGGACTCTAAAACTACAACTGAGTAAACTGTGTCAGGAACTCACTTGCGATGGGACCAGCTGTTTCAACTGCTTTGCTAAAAAATCAGGTCTAGCCCCACTAAGTAGACAGGGTTTTCCCCTTTTTCTTTACCGTCGTCCTCCCCCCCATTATTAAAGGTATAAAAGGAGATTTAAAAGAGGTGAGTAATCATACTCTAAGACAACAGATACAGACTCCAGGCTCAGCACCCACTGCTATACGTCACTGGATTTAAAAAAAAAGCAGCTACCTATAAGCTTAACCATGGATGCTCACCCCTTTAAACCAGGGGATGATGTACGAGTAAAGAAACGAAATATCCAGTCCCTGAAGCCCCTTTGGAGAAGATCATTTACTGTCATTTTGTCCACTTCCCACTGCAATAAAGGTAGAGGAGGTGGGCCCCTGGATTCATCCCAGCAGAGTAAAACCAGCCTTCTGAGACTGGGAGTGCGCTGCTAATCCATCAACGCCCGGGAAGCTGGCTCTCCAAAAAAAACAAGCCACGACCCCAGGACCTTAGAGGACTATAGCCCTGCTTTAGTCACTCCGGAAGCTGACTAATCTACACACAGCAGAAGCTTGAGGAATCAACCATCAAACAAACAGACTGTGTTTTTAATGTGATGCAATGTCATCCCTTGCTACTGTCTGTTGCTGTAATTCTTGCCTTGGGTTTCACTGCAGGTTTGGCATCGGTTGCTCCAGACAGCTGAACCCATGGTAAAAGGTTACTGTTAGCACTCTTTATCTCTTTTGGACAGGATGGATCTTGAGACTGTCGAACTCCCATTTACACACTAAACCATATTATTCAATTACAGGCAGTTGTTGAAATTATAACTAATAAAACTACAAAGGTCCTTAACATATTGGCCAAACAACAAACTAAGATGCACATGCCATTTATCAAAACCGCTTAGCTTTACATTACTTGCTTGCTTCTGAAGGAGGGGTTTGTGAAAAGTTTAACTTAAACAACTGCTGCTTACAAATAGGTGATAAGAAAAAGGTCATTTTAAAAAATGACTGATCAGAAAAAAAAGCTTGTTCATGTCACAGTCCAAACCTAAAAAGGCTGGGACCCCAAAAAACTGCTTGGAAATTGGTTCTCAACTTTTAAAAAATTTAAAACCCACATAGGCGTTGTACTCATGACGTTGAAAATTTGTCTAATCCTTCCCTGTCTAGCTCCCTTAGTTATAAGATCTATCTCCAGCCTCATTGAGGCCATGGTTAAAAAACAAAACAAAAAAACACATGTAAAACTGTTATAAAAGTAAAAACCCTTAAACCACTATGACCCTAAAAAGGGACTCGGGTATCAAAGGGGAATGAGGCAGGTAACCCTTCCCCCAACTCTCATAAGGTAAAGGCCTTCCCAAGACAGAGGATTCAATTACTTTGATTCAATTATGTTGCCCAGATCCATCAGAGGAATAACATATGTGGCAGAGATGGCCTGATGATATATGTGTGTGTGTGTGTGTGTGTGTGTGTGTGTGTGTGTGTGTGTGTGTGTGTGTATGTATATTTATTTATTTATTTGAGTTGGAGTCTTACTCTGTCGCCCAGGCTGGAGTGCAGTGGCACACTCATGGTCACCATAGCCTCGAACTGCAGGCTCCGGCGATCCTTCTACCTCAGCCTTCCAAGTAGCTGGAACTACAGGGAAATATATTTCTTAAATAATAAAACTCGGGGTTGTGTGTGATGGCTAATGCCTGTAATCCCAGCACTCTGGAAGGCCAAGGTGGGAGGATTGCTTGAGTCCAGGAGCTTGAGATCAGCTTGGGCAATGCAGTAAGACCTCATCTCTACAAAAATAAAAAATATATATAAGCCAGTTGTGGTGGTACATACCTGTGGTACCAGCTCCTCAGGAGGCTGAGGTAGATGAATCACCTGAGCCCAGGAGGCCGAGGTTGTGGTGGCCGTGATTGTGCCATTGCACTCCAGCCTGGGCAACAGAATGAGACCATGACTCAAAACCAAACAAAAAACAAAAAAACTTGAAAGTTGATCCATGGGCTGCAAAAGGATGTTCTGCTTAGCAGGCAAGAAATGACATCCATCTCCTTGTACAAAGGGATACCAAAAAAAGTCTGGAATTATCTTTCGGGGGTGGGATCCTTGTGGTACAGGCTTTCCTCACTAGGTGAGTGTTCCAGGAACCCATCGGCACCAGTGGACTGGCCAGCGTGAGTTTGAGAGGCTGCGTTTGGTTTCAGTGAATTTTTTTCGGAGAGTCTTTCAACGCGTTTGCCCATTTTATAATGGGGGATTTACAAGTGCACTTGCCCACACCACACTGTGTGTTCAGCAGTTTTTGACCCAAAACCGGCATGACCCCTATGCCCCACCCTATTTACCTGATCTCCCCTGACTTTTTTTCTTCTTCTCTGGATGAAAAAAGTCCTCCAAGGGAAACATTCTGCCGATGCGGAAGAGGTAAAACAAAAACTGGCAGAAGCACTAAAAGGCATCAAAATGGATGAGTTCAAAACGTTTGAGCAGCGGAAAAAGCATCTCAGTAGGTATACCACACCCAACAGAGAGTGTTTTGAAAGTGAATGAAGTTTAAGCATGTGAGAATAAATACACAATTTTTAGTAAATAAATTGTGGGTGTTTTGGGGTCTACTCTTGTACAACTCCATTAGAACTCTTGGGTCACCAGGTGTACTGTCAATGAGCAGTAACATTTTGAAAGGAAATCTTCCTTTTTGGGGCAGTAGGTCTCAACAGTGGGCTTAAAGTATTCAGAAAACCATGACGTAGACCACATTGTAAACAGATGTGCTGCCATCCAGTCTTGGTTGCTGATTTGCAGAGCACAGGTAGAGTGGCTGTAGCATAGTTCCTAAGGGCCCTGGGATTTTTGGAATGGTCAGTGACCTCTGGCTTCAACATAAGGTTACTAGCAGCATTCGCCCCCAAGAAGATTCATCCTGTCCTTTGAAGTTTGGAGGCCAAGTGCAGAGCTCTTCCCTCTAGCTGTCAGTGTCCGAGACAACATCTTCTTCCAAGAGAAGACTACTTCATCTACACTGAACATCCATTGTTTAGTGCAGCCAACTTCTTTTCAGTTTTTTGTTTCCTTTCCTGTGACCCAAGAAGCAAAGCCACCTCCATCAGTGACCTCAGCTAGACCTTCTGGAGAATGTGCTGCTTCACCTTGTACTTGCAAGTCAGGGCCTGGCTCCGGATTAGGCTTTGGCTGAAGGGAATGTCGTTGTTAGTGAGATCTTCTATCCAGGCCACTTGAACTTCCTCCAGATCAGCAATAAGGCTGTTGTCTTCTTGTCACGCATATTTTCACTGGAATAGCACTTTTGAAGTCTTTCAAGAAGTTTTCGTTGCAGTCACAGGTTGGCTGACTGTTCAGAACAAGAGGCCTAGCTTCTGTCCTATCTCGGCTTTTGACATCCTTCCTCATAAAGTTTTGCTACTTCTGATTTTGATTTAAAGTGAGAGACATGGTTATTACTTTCACTTCAACACAGAGGACACTATCAGTTTATTAACTGGCCTAATTTCAACACTGTTGTCTCATGGAATAGCAAGGCCCAAGGACAGAGACGAGGAAAGAGCAGTGGGAGGAGCAGTCAGAACACACACATCAAGCTGCCTGTCTCATATGAGCATGATCTGTGGGTCTCATGACAAGTACAGTAGTAATATCATAGACAGCCATAACAGACACAATAATGGAAAGGTCGGAAATGCTCTGAGAATCACCCAAGTGTGACAGAGATACTAAGTAAGCATGTAGCAGAGGAAAGACGGCACCAACAGCCTTGCTGGATGGAAGGCTGCCACCAGCTACCTGGACGTGCAGAAAAGTCAGTGGCTTGTAATACAAGGAGCTGGGTCTGTGTCTGCAACTCTCTCCCTTTCAGACCACAGCACAAGGAGAGCATCGCTGGAGACCCGACTTCTGGGAACCTTCCCCTCCATCAGTGTGAGCTACTGGTAGGAGCCGCTGCACTTACCCTGACCAGTTCTATGGCTGTGGAGGAAAAGTCGCAGCAGTAAACAAAGAGTCCTGGGTCACTGGAATGGGCAGAAAACACAACAATTAGACAACACACTGGATGATGCTCATTCTCAGTCTAGTGTACCAGGGTTAGAGGATCCTTTTTTTTTTTTAATGTATCAAACTAAAGGATGACAGGAAGCCATGCCTTCCCACGCTATGGTCTGGCCACGTGTTCTTTAAGCTATGGTCACCATGTTTTCTTTGCTTTGGCCCCCTCCCTTGCCTTGGGGAGGTGAACTTCCTCTCTCTTCCCTCTAACTTATATTTCAAATGAACTACATTTTCCAATTTAAAAAAAAGATGACAGAGTTAGAGCATCAACTGGCAGAAAATACCACTCATTCAACAAAACCGTATCTGTCAGTCACGACAGATTCCAGTTCAGCTGAAATCCTTGATTCGCCTCTCCTCTTAGGCCCTACAGATACAGCTATTATTGCGTTTATAAGACAATCTGTGAATTTTAAAGCAGCGCTCTCTTCTTTCTCTGCTTGCAAAATTCCACTTTTCGCTGCAACAAAGCCTTGTCTGTTGGCGTCATGAGAATATTTTTATCCTCTCTCTAAGCCACCTGGGCACTTTCTCATGCCATGAACACATGCAAATCTGCCTGCCTGCCCCTACCACACATTGAGGTCCATGACAGCAGAGACGACATCTATCACTTACTTGTCACTAAGCACCACTGAAGGCCCACTACGTTCTGGATATTACTCTAGATGCTGGGGAGACAGATGAACAAGACAAAAATCCTTGTGCATAGTTCATATTTTTCTTTTGTTAATTTTTAACAATTTTTTACTCTCTGACATGCACATATCTTATGTGCTGATTTGCCTTGTTACCCCAATGACTAGCATGACTTTTTTTTTTTTGAGTTGGAGTCTCACTCTGTGGCCAGGATGGAGTGCAGCAACACGCTCATGGCCACTGCAGCCTTGATCTACTGGGCTCAGCCTTCCAAGGAGCTGGGACTATAGGCATGTGCCATCATGCCCGGCTGACTGTTTGATTTATTGTAGAGATATGCATTCACCATGTTGCCCAGGTTGGTCTCAAACCCATGGGCTCGGGCAACCCTCTTTGCCTTTGCTTCCCAAAGTGCTAGGATTACAGGCATGAGCTACCATGTCCAGCTACCATGACTCTTAGCACAAGGCAGCAATACACAAAGTATTAAAACGATTTCAATAACTACTAAAATTGTTTCCAATTATGAAACACACCACATATTTATTCTGAAGACATCAAAATATAAAACAAGCAGCGATGTCAGAATTCTTTTGTGGGGGGGAATCCAAGTGGGGGGGCAGACATGTGCAGGTGTCTCAGCAACAACAGCTGGAGCTGCTCTGCTCCCAGTCTGCATCCTTTGGATCAGTCCCCGGGGCTTTAGGCAATTCTCGTTACCTCCAGCTTCCCAAGGCTTCCCAGGCTGTACTTCCCTCTACACTGTCAACTTCTGGGGCAGCTTCTGGGAGGTTCAAGACTACTAACCTGGGAGCTGTACTTAGTAGTCACTAGCTCCAGGTACCTATTAAGGTACAAATCCAGTGCCTCAGTCCTGTTAGACACATTTCACATGTAGTTCCTGACCACTGTAAAGAAGACGGAGAATGCCATGTCACTACGGAGTGTTCCACTAGGCAGCACTGCTATAGGGGGCATGGCCACACCTGTCCTTTCCTCTAACCTGCTGGGAACCTGATCTGCCTAGTATCTGCTCAAGTCTCGTGCTGAGTTCTGATGTACTCAGCTTCGGCACTCCAGAAGGTTGCAATCTGGAGACCATGCATAGAAAAGATCAGTGACACTCCAGTCAAAGACACACAGAGGAAACACCAGAAAGCGACACAAAACACGTAGTGACCGCGATTACCTTCAGATAGCAGCAACATCCAGTAAGGTGCTGTTTTCTTGTGCTTTTATTTCCCAGGTTTTCTATGGGTCAGTACAACTGTCCCTCCTCGGGTGTGGCACCTACGCACACCCTTGCACATCCCCCACACGATTTCCCTCCAGAACACTTGGAACTCCCAACACCATGTAAAGAGTTGTCACACTGTAGTTTTCATTACTGTATTGTTTACTTTCAATCCACAGTTGGCTGACTACTCAGATGCAGAAGCTGTGGCTATGAAAAGCCGTCAGTATTACATTTGAAATCAAGAGAACTTAGTTGGGCTCTGTGGATAAAACTGCATTTCAAAGTAACTGGTTTTCTCTATTTTACTTTATATACTTTTAAGAAATTAGCCTGAGGTGAATCTGGATACAGATTTGTATATTTTTAGACAGGTGGTTGCCTAGGCCTAGGCACAAGGGAAGCGAGAGTGCCTGCCAACGGGGGTAGGCCTTCTGGTGGGGCCATGAAAATACTCCCCGATCTGGACAACTCTGGAAGGATGCTGAAAACCACTGCTCTGCACTTTCCACCATGTCTCAATAAAGCTGTTCTACACAGGGGAAAAGACATTTGCCTGAGAAGCGATCCAAAGGCTTCTCCAGACACAACATTAAAATGAAGTCCAGCATCTGCCAGCACTCGGGCGTCGGGGTAACACAGGAAGGAAGGGGAAGGGCTGCAGAGACCAGAGGGATACAGCAGGACTGCACAACAAGGGAAGCTTTTCTTTTGTTAAGTCAGGGTCTCACTGTGCTGCCCAGGCTAGAGTGCAATGGCAGGATCCTGGTTCATCACCGCCTTTACCACCTGGGCTCAGGTGATCTTTCTGTCTTAGCCTCCCTAACAGCTGGGACTACAGGTTTGACCACCCCCAGCTAATTTTAAAATTTTTTGAAGAGACAAAGTCTCACTATGTTGCCCAGGCTGGCCTCTAACTCCTGGGCTCAAGGGATCCCACCTCTGCCTTCTAAACTGATGGGATTATAGGTGTGGCCGCTGCACCCAGTCTCATTAGGGGAGTTTTCTGGATGCTTCTGGCCTAGAAGCTGAGTAAGGAAAATACAGTCTAGTAGATGCAAAGGACATTTTGGGAAGGTACAGAGTAAGGAAAAGACATGCAGAGTGTGACCACCTTGCTGAGGACAGGAAACAAGGCACAATTCATGCGGCACAGCCTTGCACAGGACTTGACAACGATGCTGAACAACTTAAGACCAACTCAGAGACAGTAGAAAGCCAGTGATGATCCCAAAGCAGTGAACACGAAAAAGCAGGTTCTGGTGGACATGCAACAGTGACCTTGTTTAAACGGTATGAGGAGGCTGTGAAGATCCTCCCACTCGCCTTCACATTCACTGACGACACCCATGACCAACAGCCCTACCTGCCGAGGAACGCCAACCTCCCACTGGTGTGTGACTGCAGGAGCAATGTCTTTTCATCACAGTCAGCCACCAGGACCTGCTATTTTCTCACACATTTCTAACAGTAAAATGTGTATTTGCAACGTATTTGCTAGTGTTTCGCTAAATCCTGGGGATTAAACTACATAAAAACCCCTGACACGCTTCCGCATTGGTAAACACCTCCGCGTGCTGGAAGGGCAGCACGCCCAATGCCCGGGGGGGGGGGGGGTCAGGAGCTCAAGTGTGGGACCCTTCTGGGTCTCCCTCTACACACCCCTTCATCTGAGTGTTAATATGTGTCCTTGATAAAAAACAGGTCAACGTAGGTACCGTGCTTCCCTCAGTTCTGGGAGTCATTCTAGAATATTACTGAATCTGAGGGGTCCCCGACTTACAGCCTGTGTGTCAGGAGTACAGAAGCCAGATGTGTAGCTGAGGAGGGGTAGTCCTTGGGGAACGAGCCCTCAGCTGTCAGATCTGATGCTAACCCAGCTATAGCTGGAGAACTGGCCAGTGGGGACAATAACCCTGCACAGCTGGTGTCAGAAATGTCCCACGCAAGGATGCAGAAACAGCGTTTCTTCAGAACAGCAGGCGCCTTTGTGTACGTCAGCTGCTGCAACTCCACCAGGGAACGACAGCTTAGCCACTTACTGCTCCTCAGAGACCATGTTATAAGCACCTTAGACGAAGGCACTATAGACTAACCCTCTGCACTCAGATGTCCCCTCTGAGAGGACACCCCAAATCTAGCAAACCGCTCTTATGTCCCCTCTTGGGGGTGATTAACAGGATAAAATTATACAATCACAAATTTTTCAAAAATGCATGCTTCCTTGAAGTTTTCCATTCAAATTCCAGGAAAAAGCAAATAAAGAGATGGAATAGATACTGAGATACATGTAAAAAAATATCAGCTGGTGCTATGTAGAAAGAAGATGTCTTAAGTGCTTTCACTGGTGTACAGATTGGACAATAAATTACTTATTATTATCGTGGGAGAAAGAAAACAAGACAGCACTGTCTGCTTGAATAGAAAAATACTGGGTGTAAGACATCCAACAAATTACTATTGCACAACATAGTAACATATTGTGAACTGGCAATGCATGTCGGTGACTGTTTCACATGCTACCACACATCAGAAAAACAGAAGATATAAAATTTTGATTTTTTTGTTCATAAGTTCCTCAATGTCCAAAATTCCATTATAAACCAAATATCATTACAATAAAATAACTGCTTCCAATGCTGTTTATTTATTTATTTATTTATTCGAGTTGGAGTCTCACTCCGTTGCCCAGTTTGGAGTGCAGAGCTACACTCATGACTACTGTAGCCTTGAACTGCTGGGCTCAGGCAATCCTTCTGCCTCAGCCTTCCAAGTAGGTGGAACCACAGGCACACGCCACCATGTCTGGCTAATGTTTTAGTATATTGTAGAGACGAGGTCTCACCATGTTGCCCAGGCTGGTCTTAAACCCCCGGGCTCAGGCAATCCTCTCACCTCCGACTCCCAAAGTGCTGGGATGAGAGGCGTGAACCACCGCACCCAGCTCCAATGTTATACTATCTAATAAGAAGTGATTTGTTTTTCACTATTTTGTAAAAAAGTGCAGTTGAGTTGCTGGTAGAGGATCTACGAAAAGTCTTCGAGTGCAAAGGGAAACACTGTAGCAGGTTTTAAGTTTAACGAATTTCCTTATGACAAAAGTAACGTATGTACCAACAAATTAAAATAACTCATAGCCGGGCTCGGTGGCTCAGCCTGTAATCCCGCACCTTAGGAGGCTGAGGTGAGTGAATTGCCTGAGCCCATGGGTTCGAGACCCACCCGGGCAACTTGGTGAGACCTCATCTCTACAGTAAAGCAAAAAACAAACAAACAAAAAAAAACCAGCCAAACGTGGCAGCACACGCCTATAGTTCCAGCTACTTGAAAGGTTGAGGCGGAAGGATCACTAGAGCCCAGCAGGTTGAGGCTGCGGTGGCCAGGAGCAGCCACTGCACTCCAGTCTGCGCAACAGAGTGAGACTCTAACTCAAAAAAATAACTCATAAAGAGATAATGTAGGAATTCAAAACCCCTATAATCCATGCTTCCCAATAACCGCTGTTAATAGTTTGACACAGCAAGAATTTTGTGTGTCAAACACAACAAATCTCCCTATTTCTCCTCTTTGCTGTCATAGTTAAACTTTACAACATACTCACTTGTTGGTCTGTAGAATTGGAAAGACTGTGTTTCCCACACCACAGCCAACCTGCAGATACAAACGGACTGTTAGTCACAGAACTCCCAAGGAATTCATTCTGAAGCTAGAGAATCAAGAATACTCTTGCCTGCCTGTCTCAGGGAAGGTGCCGTGACCAGAGCTAAGCGGTACCTACCCTGCTCCCTGATCTTGACCTCGGGAACCCTTAAAGACTGGAGCGTGGGCTTTCACTACTAGAAGGGAACTGGTCGAGGAAAAGGGGCTGTGGTTGCTTCTGAGCTCTGGCAAAATGTCTGAAGATGAAATTCCCATTGCTCAGGGAGGATAAGGGATTTGTGCAAGATCATGCCACAGGACTCAATCCCAGGCCAACCAGCCGAGTCAGCTGGCAGTGGAGGGTGCAGTGTCCTCTTCTGTGTTTACTTTATGGTGCCAACCTAGACACTTTTCCAGGTCTACATACTGTAACACCGTTCAAACTCAGAGGTTGAGAAGCCTCCCAGATGCAGGCACCAGCCCAACCACTCTCCACTCCTATGGCTGTATTAGAAGAGAAACAGCAAGCTGTCTTGTCACCTGGGACTTTTGTCCAGGTTAGCACTGTCATCTTAGTTCTTTACCTGTACAAGACAGCCACACACAGGGAGTACAGCAGATGCTACGACTTTCAGAAGTGATCTACTTCTGTCCGCCACAACTACCAGATATCTGGTCTGCACTTAGGGCATTTCATTAGTTTAAAAACTGGAGGTGATCCCAGGTCAAGTCTAGTTGGCTTCATCAGAGAGAAGTCACTTTTGTTGTCAGCCTCTCTTTGACACCCTGAGTGCACAACACAGGAACCCCACCTATTCACTCCCGGGACAGTAAAAGGAGATTACCTCGAGTATCCGGTAGGTGGCTGAGGACCCGGGAAAGTCATTGGTACACACTTCCAGGTGACTGAGCTTCTCAGTCACATTCTCCTCCCCACATGTCTGTTTTTCATGTCCAAGGCTGTTAGAAGAACCCTTGTTCTGTCCTTCTATCATTAAACCAGGTTCACCCTCACTGCTGCTACATTCAGGTAGTTCACGCCTCTTGCTCTCCAAGAGCAAACCATTCGAGTGATTTTGGTTTTGGCAAGATGCCAGCTCAGGGAACTCGGTGAAAAGCCAATGTCTATCCTTGAAAAATCCATTTTCGTGGATTTTGTAGAAGTCATTCCAGTATTTGTGGGCATTGATTTCATAATCAACTGCAAATATTTAAAAAAGAATTTAAAAAACCTGCTCACATTTTATTATATTTCATGTAAATTATCCTGCTTTACCAAATGTCACTTTTATAACTAGAAGTGGCCCCTGCAGAGCCACAATCTCAGAACTGACAGTACTTCTAGGGTCATTTAGTCCTGCAGCAATCACTGTACTTGAATCCCCTATCCGTCATTCCCTGGGAACCGTGGGTCAGAGAGCTTAGTACCTACCAGCTCACCTCTTACACCTTGGGTGGCTCTTAACTATCAGAAAATTCTAATGTTAAGCAAAAATCTGTCCGATCACTTCTAGCCACAGAGAACAACAACTTTAGTATTTGAGAGCAGTTATTTTCTACTCTAAATCTTCTCTTTTACAAGCTAAATGTCCGGGCTTCTCTAGTTGTTCCCCATGTAAACTCGATGGTCACCACCCAGGAGCCTCTTTAAATAATGTTCCTGCCTGTAGTTCTTCAGAGTGCAGAGCACAGAAATGAGTTCAAGCTACTAACAGATACTAAAAACAGAAGCATGGCTAAAAGGAAAATAGAAAATGCTGATGATGGGAAAAATGTGTTCAGGAGAGAACAGTTTTGGTCAGAGGACAGGAGAGACTAAAGACGTGTGGACTGTTTAAAAGAATGCTATTGCCAGGTGCAGTGGCCCACGCCAGTCATCCCAACATTTTGGGAGGCAGAGGCGAGAGGATTGCCTGAGCCCAGGGGTTCCAGACCAGCCTGGAAACTTGGCAAGACCTCGTTTCTACAATCAATCAAAAAATGGGCTAGGCGTGGTGGTGCACACCAGTAGTCCCAGTTACTTGGGAAGCTGAGGTGGAAGGATCACCTGAGCCCAACAGGCTGAGGCTGCAGTGGCCGTGATTGCACCACTGCACTCCTGCCTGGATGACAGAGAGACTCTGAAATAAATAAATAAATGAATGAATGAATGAATGAATGAATGCTATTGCTTAAGGTTATCAAGACAGTCCCAGATTTCCGACAGTAAATAAGTAAAAGCCGGGCTCGGTAATCCCGTGCCTTTGGGAGGCTGAGGTAAGCGGATTGCCTGAGCCCGCGGGTTCGAGGCCTGGACAGCGAGACCTCATCTCTACAATAAATCAAAAAATCAGCCGGGTGTGGTAGCGCACGCCTGTAGTTCCAGCTACGTGGAAGGCTGAGGCGGAAGGATCGCCGGAGCCCAGCAGGTCGAGGCTGTGGTGGCCGGGAGCGGCCACTGCACTCTAGTCTGGGCGACAGAGTGAGACTCCAACTCAAAAAAATAAAAATAAGTAAGTAAATAAATAAAAGTTACTGCTTAAGGCTATCAAGGCAACCCCAGATTTCAGTTTGCTGCCCTTCGCCAACAGAGGGACTTGACTAGTGTAGTAGAAAGAATAAAAAAACCTGAGAAACTGAGCAGGACAGTGGCCACGGAAGCCGGGCTTCCCTAAGGAGTGTGCAGCAACTCACCTGCTGAATCAACTAAAAGTACAAACAGGAACCTAAGAAGCTGGATTCCAGTTCTACTGTTGCTACTACTGACTGATGGCTTGCCTCCGGGCAAAGCACTCAACGTCCTGTGGTCCAAGTACATGTCACTGTAAAAAGAGGACACTGGACTACGTGCTCGTCAGTATCCCTTTCAGCTCTTAACTTGCTGGGGTCTAGCTTCTGTCAAACTGCCGGGGAATGTCTCGCAGCATCTTCTCGCTGCGGCACAGAACTCTCGCCGGGCCGCGGCGCTCCAGCTCCAGTTCTACCCCCAACCTCCGGACGCGCCAGTCCCAGTTGCAGGCGCCAGGCGGTCTCCCTCAAGGAGGGGCCTCTCTGGGGCCGGACGGCGGCCGCCT